CGAGATACAGATGATTTTATTATTCCGGATTCTAAATGGACATAGCTTTAATTGACTTGTTAACTCTGAAACAATGGATTTATGTGATGTTTTCTGGTCGATAGGCCCAAAATGGGCGATTAGGCCGGAGTAGTTCTCTACCCTAATGCTTCCTTAGTCAAAATTATCAAAATTTCCGGTAGAATTATGTTGGCTAGAACTTTGATTTGTTCCAGCTGCAATAGAAGTATAAGTAGCTCCATTTACACACTGAAAATTGTTAGCAGCGAGGGAGCATGTATAGATGAAGAATTTGAAACAGGGGTGATATTTGCACCTACGGGTACAAATGTGGTTTTTACCACAATTTGAACATTTAATTTTTTTAGGATCTTCCTTCACAGGACAGCCATCCTTAGCGTGAGAGGAATCACCACAATTCATGCATTTTGCTGGCATGTAGCAAGTTTTGGATCCGTGACCCCATCCCTGGCACTTACGGCACTAAGTGAGGTTTAGAAATTTCCTCCAGTCTTCCTGAGCTGTTTCCACTTCACTCGGACATGGAGTATAAGGCTAGCTTTTTTCAAGGCCTTAAGGTTGTTTAGTTCACTAGAATTAAAGTAAACTAAATATAAATCATTGGAAATCTCGTTGCTTGAATCGCCAGAACGGGATTTCATTTTCATTTTGATTACTTGGACAGACAAGTAATTTAGTTCAGGGATTCACCACTGGGCAGATCTTTCAAGACAACCTTGAACAGACGTTCAGTTTTGGTGTCTAAAAAAATGTGTGTTGTTTCTCAGTAAGGCACTTTTTTTTTATCTAGTTCGTTTATTTGGAAGGCTCAATCGCGTTAGCTTTACGGAGCCGATAATTCATTGTTCACTGTGTGTAACAAAATTCACTTAATTCTATGTCTAGTAGGAGTTGGGCCGATTACTCGCGGCTTACTCGAGGTTAGAAGGGTACATTTTCGAAGGATAGGATCAGGGGAGGAGCTTGGGGTAGGGTAACGTTGTCTCATCAGAGCGTTGTCGCCAGTATGAACGGTAGTGCTGTTCTAGCTTCGTCCGGAGTTCGACCGGCTATGGTGGGTAACCAGTGGGCGACGATGAGACTCATCGAGACGGGGGGACAAGACAAACAAAAACTAATAAAGAGAGACAAAAGACAAAAGGAATTAAATTCTTATACTAGACATTTGAAGAAAAACATAAACGGACTGCATATAGCAGAGATCACGGGTTGCCAACACGTCTCTGATAGGAACATAGGGTTATCTTCCTTGGGCCTCGAGGGTATTCAAAAGTCGCTCTCTGGCGGCGTCATTATCCGTACATTGCCAAACTGCGTGTTCGATGTCATCGTAACCGTTTCCACACCGACAGATGTTGCTGTCCACGAGGTTTATTCTATTGAGATGAGCATCTAGCGAGTAGTGGTTGGACATAAGTCTACTCATCACGCGAATGAAGTCACGACTTAAGCCCAAGCCTTTAAACCACGCTCTCGAAGAAACATTAGGAATAATTGAATGTAACCACCGTCCAAGATTTCCAGTGTCCCAATCGGTTTGCCAACTCGAAAAGGTACTCTGACGCACTAAATGGTAAAATTCATCGTGTGAAATTTGCCTGTCATACAATTCGCCTTCCTGCGCGCCCACCTTTGCGAGAGAGTCCGCCTTCTCATTGCCTGGGATATGACCCATACAAAGGTAATCATATAAGATCTTTCGACCAGCACACACATCTGCTCCCTTACCTTTGAAAGGAAATAAGATGAGTGCCTACTTGGTTTCATCGACCGACTAGCCTCAATCGAACTGAGACTATCCGTGAAGATGAAGTAATGGTCTGCGGGCATGTTGGAAATCATCCCCAATGCGAAGTTGATTGCTGCCAGCTCAGCAACAAAAACGGAACAAGGTTCCTGAAGTTTGCTGTAAGGCACTTGAGAAGACGTTTGAATCCGTCCAAGGTTTCAGTCAAAGCACGCCCGACGACCAATTTGAAGTGAAAACTTAAATTGAACGAAGTTCAAAAGTTCCCTGCGAAGAGCATGGCAATCGGAAGTGGTTATGGCAATGGGGGGAACCTTTTCCTTTTTGGCATTAAGTCGGGAATTTTTAATGGAATTTTGCCTGGATGATGAATCATTCTCATCATCCGTAAGCATATCGAATTGATTGCTCAATTGAATTTTATCAGAAGGGGGATCAAGCGATTGCCCTTCTATTTTGCGCTTAGGTAAAACCAAGTTTATCTAAATTGATTTCCAAGTAGATTACTATAAGAATCCGAAGGATCGAAGAGGAATTTTCCAAATCTATATCCAAGCAGGATTACCTTGGGTAGGGTCCACACAAGGATCGAAGAGGAATAAGAGTGACATAAGGTAGAAATTTTACAGGTTGAGCACTGAAAAGTGTTCTTTAAATTCGTTGTAGCTTTAGGTAGCAGCAAAAAGCAAATATATCTGCACGGCAAGAGAGCACGATGTGGACCAGGGTTCCTGTAATATCTGGCATACTGCGACTTTTTCGGCCGACTAGATGCAGGCTGTCTTAGTGAAGGTCCCAGCAAAGGGGATATATTGTTCTTGAAATTATATGCAAAATTATCCTGAACCCATCCTGGAAAGATTTGACGAGTACTCTAAAAAATTATTCACCTCCTAACCGAGACGTACACACCAAATTTCAGATTTGAAAACCAGCAAAACGGATTACTGGAACAAGCTCAGCAAACCATGAGTTTTGCCGAAAATCAGCTAACAATTGTTTTTTTTTACTGAATACTACAGCAAACATGAGTGATCTGCTGGAAATCAATGAAGACCTGTCAAAGTGTTAGCGTCACAAGCAATCAAGTAACTTTGCACAAAAGTTAAAATGGGTGTCTACAGGTTGCCGCGAATTTATATCTCAAATTCTTCGGTTATTTAAAATGGTAAGTTACCCTATAATTAATGTATGAATATTGCTAATATACTTTAATACATGTCAAAATTATGTGTTTACTAGGTTAATCTCAACAACTATCAAGAAACATGCTTCCGGCTTGATGAGAATAATTCTTTCTCAAGGCCTTCCCAATACCTCATCTAATACGATGGAGGTAGAGGTATCAGTCTATAAAAAATCGAATTGAAAACTGACAGCACCAAATTAATAAATCATGGAAAAGTTCATGCTATATTCTTTTACAATAATAAAGAACACCCATCAAGATAATAACGAAAAAAAAAGCATTTCTGATATTTTCAGCAAAATCCTCGCAAATGTCAGATTTTTGGATTGCTGAAAAAATCAGTAAAAAATATTGCTGAAATTTTTACTGATTTTTAGTAAATTGTAGTAATTTTGACAGAAGTTGAAATTGCTGGTAGATTCAGCAGCATTATTTTGTTGGAGAGTTTGCTGACTGTTCATCAAGTCCAAAATCACCAAAACTTTGCTCATTTTCAGCAATTTAAATTTGGTGTGTATAGGTATTTTTCCCTATTTTCCTTTCTCTTTGGCCACAGCACCGCCAGCTTTCAACATTTAATCGAAAGTCAAAGCGAAAGCTATCGCACACGGTCGATCAATTTAACTCAGTCACTGAGTACTATTATATTGCTTTCACGGAAATATTACTCATTTATAAAAAAAAAGAGTTTCCAGAGCTCTGTTGTGCAACTCCAGTTTTTATGATAATTGAGAAACACATCCGTGAGTGAAAAAGAGCAATACAATTTTACTCAGTCACTGAGTTAGCTTGAACGGCCGTGTTGGTCTTTTTACTCAATTTTCTCACAGCATATATTTGAAAAAGCTCTCTTTTGCTCTCCCACAGACACATGAAACCATGGTTGGCATATGATTGATACACTGCACCATGGAAACCGGCATCTGCCTTCAATGTATAGGTGAATCTACCCACTTATTCCAACCAACAAGCTAGGACTACCTACCACCACGGTGAGATTTGGTTTCCTCACTGGAAAAATCTCATTCTCTCACCACCCGCCGCAGGTTCCTCAACCACCTGCTCACCCTCATGATTCTCTCCGTCCTACCACCTCCTTGCGGTGATGGTCGACCGGCAAGACGCCGATGGGGACGCGTGGTGCTGGTGCCCTTCCAGTAAAGCGTACGCATGATTGTTGCTGCTGCTGATCCTGTCCTGGCGATGGACTCATCATTCCACTGACATTGAGTGTCGAACTTACGCGTCCATATTGATAGGTGGAGGATGCGAATGAGCGAATTGCTTGCGGTGTGGAATTATAGGGGTATAATTGCCGAAATGCTTCTGGGGCGATGGGTTCGGGGCAGGATCGGCAAAATGTGCCATTATCGCCATTCCTGACCGGCACAGTGAGTAGCGAATAGCTTCTGCTGCTTGCTACAGCCCGGCGCGCCATTATGGTGTACAATGAAATTCCTGGGTGTCGTCGTCGGTGGAGTGAGACCGATGGCAGTTCTGGGAAGCTCTCCAAGAAAATCGAGAATGACAGTTGTCCGACGGGGGAAACCTGATGCTTTATGAACCATGCCGATTTCGACGAGCCGAGCGACGCAGCGTCGTAATCGTCGTCGACGTCGTCGTCGTCGTAGCGATGCGGTGTCACAGTGTGTAGGATTGGAATTTTGGAATTGGATACATGTATTCGATTTGACGGAGGGTCCCATTCCATTTTCGCGGTGGAGTCTGATGCTGATATGCTGCCGTCGTGAGGCTCCTTGGGCTTGAGCTGGAAGCTTCGGCCGCTGTCTTGTCAGTCGATTCGCAGTTACTGCCACGGTCGGAGTGAATCATCCGTCTTTCCTGTTCCTGTTGCTCCGTGAGTGGCGTGTGTGTTGTTCGTGCGGCCCCTGGTACGTGTGTGTGAGCGTGCACGGGCTGAAGAAAGAAAAGCTGTCCTGTGGAAGGGATATTTGTGTGTTGAGTTTCCTTTTTCTTTCCCAAAGTTTGTATACTTTGGAAAAGTGGCATTACAAATTACAAGTGTTATCGTGGAAATTTCTATTATGATCTGCCGTGAGCATTTCATGTAGCTTTCAAGTATATTTTGTGCTCAAGCAGGTGAAGATTGTGCCACAGCTACTGCTGGTACATACGCTTGTTAGTGCCCGTCGTTTGTGTAACGAGGGCCCTATCGAGGATATTCCGAGAGGACAAGTGAACTTGAGGAAGGTGAGTTTCGTGACATGTCTTGGTTGGTTGTATAAACATTTTATTCCGAAGCTCGAGATTCATGAGGTAGCAATTAGGCATTTTAATTGGTGTAATAACGTACTGATAGTTGAAACAGTAATTATGTTGACCGTGGCTTGAAAAGGTTGATAGTGGATCATACTAGCCACAGCTGCTCATAGCTGCTGTAGTAGAGATAATATAAACACAACGTATCAATACTACAGGGAACAGACAAGGTGTTGTCTTCTGTTTTTGTTCATGCATTTCAAACTATGCAACAATATAGTGTGTTGTTGAACAGAAGTAAACTATGTTTCACGTTATTAACCTTCGACGATAAGGAGAATCGCTTGGAGTGTCATTCGGGAGTTGATTTGGTAGAAGAAACTTTTGTTATGAACTAAATGGATTCAGTTGTTTCTAGCTACTCGCATGGATAATTAGAAAACTTCTACCAGCGAACAGTTCCTCTGCTGCTCATTGCATGTCGCATTTGCAATCGAGATTTTCACATATTTTTATGACACTACATTAACTTAACAATGTTGTTCAGAAAGTGTTTGGAACACCAGCAGAAGATGATCGGAAATTGGTCGAACCAATTTTTTAAGATGCACAGTGGAGTAAATAAAATAAAAACCTGATCATAATTCCAAAAGTATAATTTGAGTTTATTATATTGTGCTAGTTTTATTTTAGAGTGTGATTAGAAGATTTTAGAACTAGTTATTTTATATACATAGCCCAAGTAACATTGCAAGCTTTATAGATGTTTTATAGCATTCTACAAGCCTGAATCATGGTCTATAGAACCCTCATAAAACCAATATTGTTACTTGGGAGATTCACGGAAATATTATCAGACGATTTGGCAACGTGATTTGTTACAAAAGCTGCCAACATTTAACGCTAAGCAAAATGTTTCAGCTTTGTGCGTGACTTTATCGTTTTCTACGCTACGAGTTTGTTTACGTTGTTTGAATTCTCAGTGAACTGGTGAACTATTATCGAATAAAATTTATTGAATATGAAGTGTATTGCCTAGTTTTTCCCTAACCGTGGTTGTGAAATTGGATGAAGTGCAACAATGTGCGTTTTTTTCTGGTTTCCGAAGACGCTGAACTTTGTAAAAAATGGCTGAAGTATAACGGACTACCGTCGGATTTTTCCCCAATAGATTATATGCGTTTTTACAGTGTATTTTACAATGATAATCATTTGGTGGCATCTAGTTAAAATTTAATGCTTCTTCCAGTACCACTTCCAGTGTGCTCGCAATTTTATTTTGCTAAAGAAGATGGGACGCTTCTTAAACTGTCTGGAGCGATTCCGGTTCATCAGCACCAAATGCATGTTGTGTGAAAACAATTCCGTGGTTTGACGTGGCAATGCTTTTGACCTACAATATCAAAAACTCTTCTACGCATTTTACTGCCATTATATCGATCGTGTGATCTCAAATTGAATCCAAATTAAATGCAACTTGTTTCAAAAAATCAATCAAAAATAGGATGGAATCAGGGTAAAATCGAAAAAAAAAAATAAAATCGTTTAAAATCAAAATTGAGTGTATTTGGAATGCAAATAAACGGGATCGGTGTTTGCTACACAATACCTGAACATACACAAACAAGAAGTAAATGAATAAGTTGAATAAGATAGTTTTCTGGTAGGTTTCGGTTGAAAAACGTATAGCATTTGAAAGTTGTATTCTTCCTTGTAGCAATAGTAAAATAAAACATTCCGGATGTTTCCGGTTTCGCGAATTACACACAATCAGTACTGGTTTACTGCAGTACATTTGAAAATTCAATATTTTTTATTGGCACCTATCATGAACCAAAACAAACAATTTAAATTGTGGCGTGGCCAAGGGGAAATCAACTCTGCACACCTCAATCTGTGCCGAATGTTTTAGCGGTGCCGAAAGCTGTACCGAAGTCTGCCAATCAAGTATTCCATGAGTTTGGCAACATTGAAGTTTTAATGACTTTTATGATTGTTTGTTTGTGATTGTGCGAGAAAAAGAAGCGTGATGAATTGATGCACTCAAAAATCACTGCTGCAGTATGGAAATTCTATCCGAATAAGAAAACTGGGCAAAGTAAACCAAATCTGTTTCAAGATTCGAACCGTTTATCACCAACAAAACACGGATGGTAATGGAAGTCGGTTTCGAAGCCCAACTCCGGCGGATCCTCATAGATCCGAAAACGTTCATCAACCACGAGTACATCATGACATAGTTCGAGATTCTAGTGGATTGCGGCAAGCTGGACGCGGTTCTTCGTCCGAGGCGTTGATTATGAAGCAGTATGACAACGATAGCAACTGCGAGGCGGCGGTGGAACTGTTCAATCAGCTGCAAGCTGTGGGCGGTTGCCGAATGTGGTTCTGTTGTATGCCAAGGGAAAAGTTTAAGGGCTTAAGGATCGGGTTCAGGTTGTCAAAATGTACTTAATTTGTTTTACAGAAAGCCTATCTAATAAATTGTCTAAGAATGTACAATTGGGTATCATAATCCTGATTATTTAAACAAAGTGAGTGACTAGTGGTGCCATAGATCGCTCATCCGGCAGGAAAGGTGCCTGATTTGTATGACGCCCAACTAACAATTTTCACAATGTAAACGCTTTACTCATTTCATTAATACAGCCTCAAGCTGTATTCAAACGTTATAGGATATGAAAGGTTCCCTTACTCAACCTCTATACAAGCAAATCTGGCGAACTTAGTCATCAAATTATTGTTGTTGGGACAGTTGGGACAAGCTCTTATTGCGTATCCATTAACGCTTCTATACAGCTGTTAATCCTGCTGTTTAGTTGTGTGTCAACTTGAAAGGCGTTTATTCAACCTTTTCCCGGTTATCCAATAATCACTACACAGCTTTCTCTTGAAGCCGGGTTATATACTGTTTACGATTTTTTTTATGGAGGAATTTATTGAGTTTATTTTGTTGTCAAATCAAATTAATCGAAATTAGTTACAAGTCATCAAAAAAATAATTTACCCTGCACCGGAGAACCTGGAATCGAACTCGAGACGACCGCATTGGCAAATCTAAACACTACCAACTGTACTACGCCAACACTTTGAACTGATGTAAACAAATCAACATACCCTTCTACAACAAAATCACTGAGTAGATGTTTTATAATAGTGCACATGAATCACTTTTCTCGACCAGTTACTTCAGCGTTGTAAAGGAGCAGAGTAAAAGCTGTAAAACTGCACACGTCTAAAAATAAACCTAGTTGACTGTGAAAATGCTTCCGAAGTAGCTCTAACACAGTTTATTAGCTGAGTACAGGATATTTAGTTGTTGAAAAAGCACTTTTGATGTTTATGTTATTCAGCAAGAGTGGTTGGTTGTGTAGAAGCCATCAAATGAGTAATATATTCCCTTTATTAGCTTTGTTTTGCAGCTACAAGTTAAAAGTTGATTAGCATGTGTATAAAAGTGACATTAGCGTTTATCGGCTACTGTTATTCAGTGCGACTGACAAATTGAATAATGGTTGTGAAAAAGTTGAGTAAACGCTCTCCAAAACTATTTTGCTAGCTTCTGCTTGTAGTTGTATTTGCAGCTTCTTTTCAGCTACTTTACAGCACAACGCTGGAAAAGTTGGCTTAAAAAGCTGAAAATGTTATTTGGGTGGCCACCCTGTGGCATTGACCCATGTGAACCGTGATTACCGATATTGGAAACTATACCGGAAACGCCAAGCAAGTGTACGTTGCTAAAGTGGATGACCCTGAGAGTGACCTAGTTATTGCTGTTGTTTGATCTTGGCACTGGTATTTATTTATCACTCAAACTTTGGCAACTCTTGTAGGGAATTGGACGAAGTACTGGCTGCTGGAGAGGTCCGAGCAAAGTATATGTTTGTCTTATAATCCGGAATCAGATCGTCTAGTCCGATGGATGTGTCAGTTTCATCCTGAAATGAAGATCGGCGACAACAGTGATGCCGTTGCATATTATATTTTGTGTCATACTTGTCAAACTGTGCCCTAACCGCGTGCCGTGATGTATTTCAGAAATGTTACGACATGTTTGAACTGTTTTTTTTCGGCTACGCTACATTTTTACACACAAGTGTTTGCACGTTATTAATTACCGCATATATTTGAAGTTTATAGCATGGAATCACAAGTTAAGAATTAATACTATCCACTCCAATGTTTATATATTTAAATTTGACAAAAATGAGTGAATAATCAATTAATCCATCCAGGAACAACTTTTTACTCATACACAAGCTTGCAGTAGTTCGGCTACTGTCGGCAAATGCAAGCGAGAACATTCGTTTTTCACTGCTCTTAAGCGGTCCCCACACGTATCAATATTATTGACAATAATACTATTGTCAGTGCTTCCGTTACTGGTATTGACAATACATCAATAATTCCCCTTCGTTTTAATATATTGATGTGAATGGGGTTCACTTTACAAGCGGTGGCTCAAAACTATACCTGTACACAAACTGCGGTCCGTAAACTGAAACAATTAACATACGATGATAGCTATGAACAAATGTCAGTATTTACCAGCACTGGTTACACCACTATCAATATTAAGAGTTGCCTCGATGTAAGTAGTTTCTCCTGTTTATGGTAGAGCTACGGCTGTTTTATCAAGTATGCATCTTTGTCAATGGATAGAAGAATGTACTGAAAGTGTAATGGATGATACATTAGACTGATGCAAATTTTGAAATTTTCGCTCCACAGTGCTCAAACGGTTCCAAATCGGGTCCTGATTAGTTTCCCAAAATTTGAACTCATTCGATAAGAAACTGACTTGGCACAAACCATTTGAAGTTTATATGGAAATTACTATAGGAAAACCAAATGTTTTGTTCATATCCATCTAACAATTAACCATATCGCTCTGCTTTAAAAAATGATAACTTAGCTCGTAGAAAATTTTCTCAGCTACAACTTTGTCCTTAACCACTTTTCAATATAATGTAAGCATCAAAAGTTATCAA